TAATTGCATTGACACATATCTCGGTCAATTGATCTAATTGATCTTTAATTTGTACAATGAAATCACCCTCAGGATTAATCTCAAGAAAAAGGTCACTGAAGAGAGAAAGGATGATGGGAAAACATGAGTAATAGAGAAAAGAGAGGATGCCGTTGCAGTAGATGCTATTTTTATGTACCTGTATTCGATCCGATCTCGAATACATAAAGTCATTCACATGGAAACTCGAGTGGTGGAAGTAAGCATCGAGTCGGGTTAAGTTGTGGGTCTCAGTCACCTGTTTCTTCGTAGCTAGCCCCTCTACTCAGATCAAGATCGGGAGAGGGACTTCCTGACTCGATTTCTCTGAAGTTTAAATTATAGTCGAATAGAATAAAAGTAATTTGAATGTACGAAATTCCCTTTTATTAGTCAGAGAGTTGGCTTTTATACTTACGAAGGGATGGTCGATCGTACATGATCCTTTAATGACAATCAACTCAAAATGAGGATGGCTTATACCTTACGTGCAAGTGTCGATTGACTTGTACGAATCATACCGTATGACATCGTTTCAAATTTTCTAGAGTGACTCTACAATATGTGACATCGACTTATACGACGTCTAATAGTACGAGGACAGACGATCATCCCGAATCACTTACCACTGCCACGTGGATAATCACTTACTGCTGCCACGTGGATGGTGCTGGAATATGGACGGGCGATTTGATTTTTGATGCTCTCTCTTATTAGATAATAATAATAATAATAATAATAATAATAATAATAAGTACATCACGAACGTCACAATGGCCCAAAATCATCACGAATTCAGAATCTGAAAGGACTTGAAAATGATATAAACACATCCATCTAATTTTTACAGGTCCACAAGCTGTTCATCGAGCGATGGATTCAAAGAGCTACACGACACTCAAAAATCAAAGACACCAACCACCATTTACAGCCACCGTCACTCGGAACAAGAAGTCTAAAACCAAATGGATTCCACGGAGACCTTCGCCTCGGTGGGATCCTCCTCGAACGCATCGACGCTGCTGTCGATCTCAGAAGACGATCTCGTCCTTCTGCACCTGTCGCTCCTTCCTCTCCCGGCGGCAGCACCAGCAGCAGCAACGACATCACGAGAAAAGCGAGTGCTGGGCGGGCAGTTGGCGGCGGCGGTGAGCAGCTTGGCCTTTTCCGGCCGCAGGAGCTCCGCCAGGATGAGAACAAGGGAAGCCATGTCGAGATCTGAGTTTGAGCTGGAGGCGATGAGACGAAGATAAAGGTGAGATTGGGGGCATAAATAGCATGAAGAAGTTGGTGGTTATTCATCGGCCAACGGAGAGCACACTGATTCTGATGTCTTGTGTCGCTGCTTTTAATTAGATGGGGATGTGCGGCCTTGTGGGACTTCGTCTCAGACCATTGGAAGAGGAAGACATGTGTGCGGGTACACAAACCATGGGTGACGAAACCGTCGCAGTTTGATGGTTTTCCCCACTGCAGATGGTCCAAATTGGTGTGCGGTTGATTGCTTAGAATGATATTTATGATATAAACTTTTTAATAATATAGGACGAATTGAATTAAAATTTTGGTTTGATTAGATTAAATTAATTTAAATTATTATTATTATTATTATTATTATATATATTATTTAAAAAATTAAAATTATATTTTAATATATGGGATTCCAATTTGTTATTAGTGGACGTAATTATTATTATTGTGTAGGACAAAATCCACCCCACTCTGCAATCATCCACTGAAGATAGAGCCATGGGCTCAAAATCTCATAATTATAATCAAATAATATTATATCAATTTTTATGATATAGTGATCTTTATGTGATTTAGGCATCATTTTTAATTCAAAAAATTACTGTCAATGTAAGTAAAACTAGACTCTCCTTCTCTTATTTTCTTATCTTTTCATATGACCATTGATAGTTTAGAAAAGTTAGAGAGAAATTATAATCTTTCAACTGTGTCCTTTATGAAATGTATCGTCTAATCCTTAGAGGTTTTATCTATTTATAGACGAGAGTAGAGAGTCTAAAATAAGTTATTAGAAAAGTTTTTTTCATCTGTGACATTCCCAATGATTCTTATTATAATATGAATTTCTTTTCTATTCGTGATCATCAAAATTTAATTAATTCAATTATACATCTTATCTAATTATAAAGTACCACATAATCTAATATCATCATCCTTCGTTATTCTGTAGAACTTAAGATTGTGTCGTTAATACTGTTTCTTTCTACGCAATAGACCCTTGTTGTCTCATCTCAGACATTCGGTGTTTTATAAATTATATAATTAGCATAGATATCATTCCAAGTTAGTAATTTTCATATTTATTCATTTATATATTCATGCAAAATTAAAGAAAGTTGCATGTAAATTCTTATAATAATATATGTCAATTGAACAAATAGTTAAAATTCTAATTCAGATTAGTGTATTTTTAAAAATTATGAGAACATTATGAGTATTTTAGGGTATTTTGTATTTATATTTGGAGGAACATGTATGCTATGTTGAAATTACAAAGACAAATACTCCATTTCAAATCTTTGGAAGATGGAAATGTAAAGCTCCTTTTGGAAGTGTAATTTCCAATTTCTATATGATAAATTCGATTGATAATTCCAAGCTTTTTGCATTTTGTAATGATTCTTCCTAACATTCTAAGAGAGAAATTAGAATTTCTAAATCAAACAAAACCCTTATAAGAAAAGAATCCTCTAAATCCCATATTTTGTCCCCCAAATACCCCTTTCGAGGAAACATAATTACTAATGATGTCACACCAAAACCATCCATCACTGCGATGCCCTAAAGGGCAGATCGGGTAAACGAAGTCCGACTTGGACGGGGAACTTCAAAAAGTCCGCGTAGTGGCGGCTTCTCCGTCCGTATATACTCGCTTACAGGAAACAGTAAGTGTCTCTCACATGTACGAGTATGAAACGTTTGTATTCATTCGCTCGGTCGCATCACTTTTCGTTTCATTCGTTCATCGATCTGTTTTCTGTGCTCTTAAAATCAGCGAATCGATCGAGGACCAGAACAGTGTTCGTCGTTGCTTAAGAATCCCCTCACACTCTCTCTCTCTCGCCTGGGAACTACGCCACCATGGTTACCGCCACCGCCGCCCCGCAGTTCCGCCTCTCCTCGCTCCCAAACCGTGCCGGGATCTGCCGCTTCCCTGGAGGAACCCATCACGATCACCTCCCTTCCTTCTCGCCCCCTTCCTCTTCCCGCCCTTTCCCTTCCCTCTCCCTCCGGCTCCTCCTTCCCCGTTCCGCAAACCCTAGCCTCTCGCAAAGCCTAACCTCCCCCGACTCCGCCGTGCTATCCGGTGGCGGATCCTCGATCCCACCCAATGGCCCCGGTGATAACGGCCGTGGCGGAAGCGGCGGCGATGGCACCCCTGACGATGATCGCCACCGCGGGGAGCCGGCCTCGTCCGATCCTAGCGGCCCCCTTGGCCTCTTCCTCCAGGGGTGGCGTTCTAGGGTTTCTGCCGATCCCCAGTTCCCCTTCAAGGTCCTCATGGAGGAGCTCGTCGGCGTCACTTCGTGCGTCCTCGGCGACATGGCCTCGCGCCCCAACTTCGGCCTCAACGAGCTCGACCTCGTATTTTGCACCCTGGTCGTGGGATCCATCGTTAACTTCGTCCTCATGTACCTCCTCGCCCCCACTTCCGCATCCGCCGCCTCCTCCGCCCTTCCCGGCATCTTCGCCGCCTGTCCCACCAGCCACATGTTCCAGCCCGGCCATTACTCCCTCCTCTCCCGGCTCGGCACCTTCGTCTACAAAGGCGCCACCTTTGCCGCCGTTGGCTTCGCCGCGGGCCTTGCGGGGACCGCCATCTCGAACGGGTTGATCGCACTGCGCAAGAAGATGGATCCCGAGTTCGAGACGCCGAACAAGCCTCCTCCCACGGTGCTGAATGCTCTGACGTGGGCGATACACATGGGATTGAGCAGTAATTTCCGCTACCAGACGTTGAACGGCGTGGAGTTTGTGATGGAGAAGGCGTTGCCGTCCGCCGGTTTCAAGGCTTCGGTGGTGGTGCTGAGGTGCTTGAACAATGTGCTTGGCGGGATGTCTTTTGTTATGCTTGCGAGGTTGACAGGGTCGCAAAAGGCGGCAGGGAGCGTGGACCAGAAGGAAGAGATCAAGGAGAAATTGGCAAGCCACAGTGCTACTCCATTCGCAGAGGATGGTGATGGAGAGCTTCGAAAGAGCGAGTAAGCAGATGGTGTTTGGCTTTGTTGTTTTCATTACTTTGCTAGTCTTCACAAAGTTGGAACAAAGAAGTGATCTTGGGGTAGCGAGGAACATGACTTGAGGTTAATGTGGCAATGCGAACTGCTTAACGAGATGGTTTTGTAGTAGTCAAGATTAGACTTTGAGCCACTTCACTCTTCTTTATAATCTAAACCTTCATAGTGTGTTTAAACTGGAAAATTTGATCAAAGACACTTACATATTTTCTACTTAGCCACAGTGGTGTTGTGTATGATGTGTGGATGTTTTCTTTCAGCCAATGTGCTATATGATTAGCTAAAAAATTTACAAGATATCGGATCTGCTGATGAACCTGTGTATTTTCATGTAGACTCTTAACATGTGTTCAGTAGCTTTGTTACTGTTTTGAAGGCTCTGGAACATGTTTACATGTGTATCTTGGTAGATAAATCTCAATAGCAGTGGCAGACTGCACCTTATATGCGGGTTATATTTTCTATCATCATAATTAATTATTGATGAAAGTATCTCAGATTTTGAGAGCATGAAGTAAATTATCGTGGACGTATTTTATTCAAATGAATTGACCATAACCTTGTGGAATGCATTTGAGAGATGTGTTTGCTTGCATTGCATCAAATGCTATATCCATCTTAACCAATGCAATAGACTTTAATATCTATCTTTCCCTATAGAAATGATTATTACATGAGTTCATCTTGAAGTGCTTAGCTGAAAATTTCAGGATGCTGATAGAAAGATTTTAGTTTCTTGATGGGAGTCGCAAAAGTTTTCCTACATTGGTTTTGATTCGCTAGCAATTAAATCGTGATATCTTGGAAAAGAACTTGACTGATTTGTAGTGTGATGTTTTCCTTGGAAGTTTTATGAGGTTCCTATTTACCCGTATTTGCAGTGCACTATGTAGATTTTGATGTCTTCCTATGCCAGACTTAATGTGACAACGTCGAAGTGATGTTCTCATCGACAAATTTCCCAACATTGTTTCTGTGGCCTTTCTTCCACCATTTCTACTAGTCCTAGCAGACTCTTCAGCACTCTGTTGCCCACAGAAACAGACCATTCCAACCTGCTCAAGACTCTGGATATAGGTATTCAAAATCATTCCAAACACATACATACATCTTCCTTGCAGGTCTTGTCACCTTCTTGTAGATGAATGGTTATTGGCATGCTAAATATTTGTTTCATGTATTACATTATAAATGACACCTACCCCTTCTTTATATCCTTGGAGAAGAAACAAATACATGATCTGTGGTTTAGCAAGATAGTCCAGTAGTTGATTGCTGCTGTGGTTTATTCAGAATCCTCCTGTATAAATGTTTCCGATACTTTGCTATTATGGATGTGTGGGGTTATTAGGAAGAGAATAATAATTTGTGAATACATGGGAAGATCATGTATTAATGTATAGAAATCTATACATTTATACATCCTACTTTTTTTTTTCTGTGAAGAAGGAAAAAGTTTCCATGGCCACTCACCATGAATTGGAAACATACCCCAGCTGAACCAGAAACTGGCATTGATGACTGTTGATTCTTTGTATTCAGGAGCGCAAGGAAACATACCCCATCTGCTTCTCTGTCCTTTTCTTCTTCCTTTTTCCTTTAGTTATCTTATGGATGCATGTACTAAATAAGTGAACTGGAGGAGAGGGAGGGAAGTTGGTGAAATGTGGCTTGAAGGTTTAAGTCGATCTCTTTGGCCATTTCTACCGGATGAGAATAGCTAAACTGCATGGTGATGGACCGAGAGCTCGACGGTGACAGAAACTGCATCTGCAATGGAACAGGTCGAGGATACACAAGCTGCTGATTTCAGAAACGCAGAGACGAGGAAGTGATATGGTTTGGCTATATTGTGAGATTTGCAGTGTCTGCGGCAGCACAATCCCATTTCCTCGGTGCTCGTGAGACTCGAATGCAAATAGAGTACAGACGATGGATGGATTCATTCAGATCACTGAACTGGAGTGCTTATCGAACCACTTCTTCTCGAGGAAGACGAGTTTGGATCCTAGTTTGACCCTCTTTTAACTTCGTGAAGGTCACGTAAATGGACGATGGAGATGTGGTAGGATGGAGGAGGAACGAACGATCGAGATGAGAGACCAGTGCAACTATGATCCGAGAGCTTGGACTTATTTATACGCCGTACGTTTATACGTATGCGACCGCGCTACGCGTTCGAGAGCCGTGACGCACACGGGGAGCGGAAAGAAAACCCTTCCCCCCCTTCTCCCTCTCTCTCTCTCCCGCTCCCGCACGCGTAGAGGGGAAGCGAAAGGGGGTCGGCTTCGACCCGAATTTGAGCGCTCTCCGCCGCTTTCTCCCCGATGGGGTCCTCCGTGAGCCACGCCGCCGCCCCGCCCCCGCCCCCTACCGCCGTCGGCCTCGCGGTGGCGCTGCCTCCGAAGCAGGATGAGAAAGCGGAACCGAAGAATGTCGACTGGCTGAATCTCCCCTGCCCCGTTCCCTTCGAGGAGATCCAGCGAGAGGCATTGAGTGAGTCTCCAGACGATCGCGTTCGATTTTTCGTTGATTTATTTCCCTTTTGCTTAGAACTATTCTTACTTCTTCTTTTACTTAATTTGCTAAAAGATCAACTCCAACGTACAAAAGATGTGTTTTATGGTCGTAATTGTCGCGATCTAATTTTGGCTTGGTAATACTAAGAATGATATTAGTATCTTAAGCTGACAGGTAAACATTGTAGCTTACTTGTGCCCTATTGTGAGATGGTTGAAATATTCCCTGATGTCACCATATTATCGATGATCGCACGCTTTGGATACTTGACCTGTGTCTATGATTACCATTTTTGTTGTATAAGGAGGAATTGTATACTGACCTATGTCTCCATCTAGAGGGTTTTTCTTTTTACAAAAACACTCAAAATAGACTTTGACAAGCACGCGTGAATTTTCTTTAAAGAGGATGGGAGTTTTTGACCCACTGAGTGCAGAAGAAACTAATTCTAATAGTATAAAAGAATGTGAAAACAACGGGTAAGTTAGATGAGGTCTTTTGCAGATTATGTTCTAAATATCTTCTTGCATTGCTTCCTACAGTGTCCTTGAAGCCAGAGCTTTTTGAGGGATTGAAGTTTGACTTCACAAAAGGGCTAAATCAGAGATTTTCACTCAGCCACAGGTAGTTTAACTAATATTTGTTGACTTTTTGGTATAACCTTTATAATTTTTAATTCGAATACTTTCCTACAGCATTTTCATGGGATCCATGGAGGTTCCATCACAGTCTTCTGACACATTCAAAGTTCCTACTGCACATTACGAATTTGGTGCCAACTTTCTTGATCCAAAGGTTTGTAATTTCTTTCCTGCAGCGTCTTTCCATAAAATTGTGTTTTTTAATGGATGGTTATGTTGCAATATTGTAGTTGATGCTTGTTGGAAGGGTACTGACTGATGGAAGACTAAATGCACGAGTAAAATGTGATCTGACTGATAATCTCACTTTGAAGATAAATGCTCAGGTGCTTGGTAATTTTGTTCACTTGGAGAAGTACCAATTTTTCCTTTATTGGCATCCTCAATGATCATTTACTATTTCTGATGTGTATTGACAGCTCACAAATGAGCCGCATTTCTCCCAAGGAATGTTTAACTTTGATTACAAGGTTAGTCTTTCCGAAATCTCTTATTCTGGTGCATTTAGCAATTTGATGAAAAGTTCTTGATATTACACAGATGTAATGGTTAAAGCTAATTATTTGCTAATAGGCCATTAATATTTGGAGCAGTATATTCCTTTAATTCTTAGACCCCTGTGAAATGCATAACATGACTTAGAGTGTCTTGTGCCACACATGTGCTGACCATCAATTGGACCACTAGTAGGCACACTAGACATATCTTGAGAGTTGAGAGTGCAGATTTTGTCATAATCTCATACTGGCACTCACAAGTAGGCCAAAAATGTGCAGATAAATGGTTACATTCATTCCAATAGAGAGGGTGGGAAGGTGTGAGCAGGGATGCTGGAACTCAATGGAAGTGCATGATCAGCTGGGTTTTCGAAAAAAAAAGGCTTTAAATTAGTTTGCCTAGTCTTTTATTTTTGGCGAAGGGGTGGGGAGTTGACCAGATGTCAAGATATATATACTGAAGTGTCAGTTAGATCACAGATATTTAGAAATATATGAAGTCACCCAGGCAATTCGGAAGTACTCTCTTGATATGTTTTTTATTCATGTCTCAAGTAAATGTTCTTATCAGTTATTTGCAATATTAATATGATCAACAAACAAAAAATTACTTGATCTGCTGCATCTGCAACTTAACTAAATTATTTTTGTTAAACTTAGTTTCTTGATCTACTTGTCTTGGTAATATAATAACTTGAAATTTTATACTGATTGCAACTTATTTTAGGTAAATACGATGTGAAGGTCTGAATAATCTGTCATGCGATACTAGTGAAACTTGAAAGTGATAGCTGACTCTGCTTTCTGGATTTTTTTTTAATATGCATGTCCTTTGTCTCAAAGGCTACTATATCATTCATACAGCCTATGTAATTTACAAATTTTAATGAAGCTTCAAATAAAGTACTATATAGTCTAGTATATGATCAGTACAGACTCAATTATATATGAGGACTTTGTTTGGATCTTTTCTTAAATATCCAACTTCATATCTGTTATTTGATTGTGATAAAGGTTCAATTCCATGACTAAGCTTTATGCTAGTAGTACATGGCCCACAGATTTAATATTACATTGTAAAGTGTTGAATGAGATGAAAAGATGCATGGTCTCACTTGCATGATTTGTCTTGGTCTTTATTGCTTTTGAGAAGCGTCATTATGAAGACTACCAAACTTTGTCTACAATCTTATAATGCAACAGTTGGTATGGTACATCTGAACTGAATGTACTCATGCTAGCTGTCCATTAAATATCCATCAATCTAATCATAGTCCATCCAGTCCTAACAGCAGTAACTAGTAGCTTCAAATGTTACTATATAGAGATCTTTTATGGAATTGATGAATTATACATGGGTACTTTTACTTTAAGGAAGCTGTAAATTTGCATTTGCATCTGTAGATGATGGAGAAACGTAAAATCTGTATTGTATACTTGCGCAACATCCTTTAGTGCTAGTCTTATCATTTTATGGCAGATGTTCATAAGGTAAAAACATGGCCCTTATTCATATGGCTTGTTTCTTACAGCTAAATTTGCCGGATAATATTTTTTTTTGGTTTGATGCTTGATGACTGGTTATTTTTATTATCACACTTAAGTAGTTTGTCACAAGGTTCATGAAATAGTACAGATTAAGTCTTTAACAAGTCATGAAACCAATTTGAAATATTAAGTACCATGCCTGTGCTTGTTTGCTAGTTGACCATTAGTATGGTACATAGACCTCACATGCTCTATCAAGCCAGTATATGCCATATCTTCAACTATATTAAAAAAGGGAAGAAATCAACCTTATGTTGTATAAGTAGACGGAGACTGCTACCTACCATTGTCATTTTCAAAATGTTCATGGCCAACCTTTCTTTTTTTTCTTTTTAACGTCTAATGCAGAATGCTTACTGCATGTACAGGGAACAGATTACAGAACTCAGTTTCAAATAGGAAATAATGCCTTCTATGGTGCCAACTATATCCAAGTAAGTACATTGTGTGGTTTGTGGATCTTTTTAGACTTATTTTGATGGGTTTAATAATGAATTAAGCACCATAATTTGTTGAGGAGACCCCTCACCTAAAGTATCATAAGATTGTCCGTATGATTCCATAATAAATGGAGTTGCTCAATGACTTAAGAAAAGGGGCAACTGGTGTGCAGAAGACTTGATCATGATTTCCCCACGTCAATACTTTTTTTGGATTTAATAGTGAATTGCATTTCTGGTTAGCATCTTAACTTATTGGTGTAAGATAGTCCTCTCTCAAGTAATATAATAGAGTTTCTCTCAAGTATCATGGTAGACTTTCTTGCAGCTTCATGCATGTCTCAGGCAGTAGCCTATGGTACATCTTTAGTTATACTTGGTTAAGAGTTGTTCTTTCATGCATGATGAGCATGATTATTCTTAGACAGCACTTGGTAACATGACAATTCGTGATTATCCCATGTAATGCTGGAAGTAACAACATTACCTGTGCCAAAATCCTGATTCAATGTTTATATACAAAAGAAAAGATAATGTTAAGAAAAGGTAGTATAAAGAATTCTGTTTGATATCTCTAAGCTTATGTGTTATTGCACTTGTTTTCCATTGGAAGTGTCATTGAAAGGCCAGTGAAACATTAGCAACCTCTAAGCTTATGTAGTTTTGTTTGATCGCCTTTTTTGCTTATCATGATTTAGGAAAGTGTGACTACACTTTACATGCTGAAGAGATATAAATCATCTTCATCACCAAGATATCAAATTTCTAAACATTTCAATGGATCTGGAGGTTATTCCACTTTTCTGATGAGCAAATGATTTCTTGGGATTGTTTAGAGTAGGTGCTCTAACCTATAAATTGACTCTCATATTCAGCATTCTACTTACATGAGACATTTGTCCTTTTTTTTAATAAATTGCAACAATTCAAGCTCAGAGGATTGTAAGGCTTCAGTTGGAATGTTGCCAAACTGATAATAAGATAGAATTGTTACTTCTCATCGTGTGGCATACTTCCAGTTATTTGGCATTCTGACCTAAGCTTTTTCTATTTTTAATGCAGAGTATTTCACCACATTTATCCTTGGGTACTGAAATCTTTTGGCTTGGTCATCAGAGGAAGTCTGGTATTGGTTTTGCTGCTCGGTACAACACTGATAAAATAGTAAGTCCCTCTCCCAAACCCCAAAAAAGAGGTTGCTTAGGCCCATATTACCCTTTTGTCACTTTTATGTGTACCAGCTTTCTGAACATTTCTTGTGCCAACATTGAGGATTTAATTCAATCATAGTTGTAATTTGATGACTAGGATCTCTGTTGATAACTTCACTGATGTCATTGTTCACATATACCCACTGATTTGGAATTCTTATCTTTTTGAATGTCTGCTTAATTAAATCAAAATTCTTTTGGAAGATATGTATGAGATTTGGCCATGATGCTGCTAATGGTGACTGTGACCTAAGGCAATCCTAATAGGGTTGAATTGCACAGAATTTAGATAACAAGAAAATTAGAAAATCTGAAAATTCTAATATCCTTGTTTCTTTTTTCCTTCATTTCAATTTTTTTCTTGGCAGAAAGGGGCACATAAAGTTAGGATTCTAGAATCCTATTACCTCAGTTTTTTTCCTTCCTATGTCTGTTATTATTTTCCTTCTGGGGTAAAATTTTGGCCCTATTATTTTCCAAAAGCCAGTGAGGGTCATGGCACCACTGGCCCCAGTACTGCTTCAGCTTGTGCGTTCTGCATCAATTTTTTTTTATATTTTTCATTCTTGCTTCTTTGTCAAAATTTATTTGAAAGTTATATGCCAAGACGCTCTTCATTTAAAAATTTATGGATTTGCTTATGTTGGGTGATTTGTTGACAATGTAATAAATAATTTATGCAGGTTGTAACAGGGCAAGTTGCAAGCACTGGAATTGTTGCACTTAGCTATGTTCAGAAAGTATCTGAGAAGGTTAGGGATCTACAAGTTACAGGAAAGTTTATCTTTGTATTTGCTGTCATAAACTTTACCACTTCTTGCAGGTCTCTCTTGCATCTGATTTCATGTACAATCATTTGACACAAGATGCTACTTCAAGTTTTGGTTATGATTACATTCTTCGACAGGTAAATTCCCATTTTGCTATGAAAATGCTGTTTTTAATTAGTCAATGAAACCATTTCCTTTAATGATTTTTGCCTCCCTTTAGTTTATGTTCTTTATAGTTTTATTTTTATCTAAGATCTGAGGGCAGGCTTCAGTGTCTTGGTAAGGTTATATAAGATCTGCATACTAAGAGAAGACATTCTTACACATTATGGCTTTGCAAGTCATGGAATAGGATTATGTGCATCATGCTGATTTCTGCTGATTCAGTTTTTACTTCAATGATCCAATCTGTAACCCAAAAAATAATGCATTCCCATGTATTTTATTGTAAATTCAATCATTTCTATGGTTTTTAGTTTTTAGTTTTTACTTTGTGTGAAGTATCTTTTAGTAATGTTGCTTTTAGTTGCATGTCATAACCTTGTAGATGTTGATTAGGTTTCTTAATTGACTTAGATGCTATGACATTTTGATGGTTTTATGACATTATATGCATAGTCTCCAAGCTTGGCTCAGGTTCTTTAAGCTATGCCCTTTTGGACTACCATATGCACATGCATAACATAATTGAGAATTGTTAAATGCAAATGTCTAATGCATGCATACATAGTACGTAGCTATATATAGCTTCAGCTATGATTTATAAGGGTACATTTTATCACTCTCTTTTGTTTTTAATATGTGTGTGACTTGGATTTTACAAAATAGAGACTGAAGCATTCTCAGATGTTTTATGTTTTTTATATGACAGCATGCTAATTTCACAAACAAAAACTTTGAAGCAGTTTGGATAATTCAAAAATGAATTCTATTCCAAATCTGTTGTCTGAGCTATTGCAGAGGCACCTAGAGAAACATGTCCTGTTGGAAGTTCATTGCTGCAGCTTCTGTAGGAGCCAAGACTGTCTCTTGATTATTAGCCTAGCTCCATTATCACAGTCAGATATGATATTTGACAACTTGGATTTGTTATGAGTACATGTACTGCAAGAACTACAATTCACAGTGCCGTCTAATATCAATATAATAGTTTCTTGCTGAAAGAGTATTTTGCTGATGTTGCTTCTCCAAAAGCATATGAATTGCAATGACCTCTTTTCTTTTGTTGTATAATCAAGATGTTATGAGTCTCTTATATACAAGATTGTGAGTGGATTATGACTTTTATGATTACTATTAATCTGTAAATATTTGGATATCTAACTCATGGGATGTGGGGACTCTTTTTCTTTGCAGTGTCGCTTGAGGGGAAAGCTCGACTCCAATGGTGTGGTTGCTGCTTTTCTGGAGGAGCGATTGAACATGGGTGTGAATTTTATTCTTTCCGCAGAGGTGTGTAGAACATGTGTATTTGATGGTTTCTAAAATCCTTAAAACTTTTAGTCATCGTCCCGATTTCTAATCATGATCATGAGATAGGAAATACATGTTATTAAAAGTTGGATCTTGTGATCTTCGCGTAAATAATTGATAGAAGTGCATACACATTCAACATCATGATCCATCTCTCTTTTGATATATATATATTTTTTTTGTGATTGCTTCACTGCAGGTTGATCACCGAAAGAAGGATTACAAATTTGGATTTGGACTGACCGTAGGAGAGTAAAATTTTCTTGTTCAATTCCTTGGGAATCTGAAATAACTGGTTTTATGGCGACCACAGTTCCTGGGTGCCTTGCCCTACAATGGTCCATGAATCCTCCATTTGTGGGCTGCCAAGCTCATATGTGCTTGAATGCTATTGGAAAGAAAAAAGAACATCCTTTTTTGTAGTCCCATGAGTTGGATTTGAACAGAGAAAAAAGGTTTTGGTAGCCATTTGGAAATGTGTTCTTTCATTACTGTGCTTCTTTATCACCAATGAAACAAAGATCGATCTATAACTCGTTCATATCGATAACGATCAAAAGATCACCTGTTGCTTGTGGTTTATGGCTCGAGTTTTTTCTTCTATCGATCCTATCAACTGTTAAGATCTCCAAAGATGTTTTTATGAGCCTGAAAATAAGTTTAATATTTTTAGGTATTGGAGTCAGTAATTATTATATCGAGTGGCGTATATGAACTCGAACTTGAGATCTATAATATAATATGTATGGATGTATAGATGTAGGGCTCGTACTATTCTTAGTCCGATACCCGAAATAAAAAGATGTTGATATAAGCTCTCGTACATCCTGATGAGGGTAATAATGGTGACATGACGTACCACGACGTCAACCATGCCTGGACGACACTTTGCCCGAGGAAAAGGGTAATAATGTCGATTCGATGTGCGCCGACATCACCCGCTCTCAGACAACGACTTCATCGTCGCCTGAGCCCGTACGCTTGACCGAGGCAGAGGAGGACGACGATCGAGGCTCGCCCATACCCTACGGTAGTTCGGTTCTCCACGCAACGCCAACGACAATGTCAGACGCCATCAGAGGTACAGTCCTGCCCCTGCAGGCAGGCACATCAGGTAACACTAAACTTACCTATAAATACCCCAAAGTTCTAAATGAAAGGGGAGGACACTTCTTCATACAAAAAATCCCCTCCGCATCCACTGACTTGATCATCGGAGGGGTCGGGCCGAGCTTCCGACCCGACCTGTGTGCAGGTGCGAGAACGTGGTCGTCCCTTCCTGGTGCCACGACAAAAGCTTCCCTCCCGACGCAACATCCCGACCGGACCACCGCAATCGGCCACCGAGATATCTCGAGAGACGCTGCGCGAGATCCCTGTCATTCGGACCCCCGACCAAGCCGCATAAAGTTGTTTACACCAACACATCCATCACGAAAACTTAGGTTAATTATGATCGATAATAGTGAATACTAATTAAATTTGGGTTTTAATGTTCTTGCTATCAGACATAATCGTGAGACAAAGTCTGGTAATACTATTACCCAAGTCGTTGGCGTGGGAAAGAAATGTCCACCAAGTTTCATGTAAATTAATGCCTTCCATAAAGCATATGATTTCCGGGAAATTATGGCCACCAACCGGTCAAACACGCATGCGGACTCTCTCTCTCTCTCTCTCTCTCTCTCTCTCACAGTACTTTATCCACCCACCCAGTCTTCCAATTCTTCTTCTTCTTCTTCATCTTCCACCACACCACACCACATTTTCTTGTTGTCGGTGTAGATTCAACCTCCTGGCTTTATAGGGAGGGTGAGGAGAGACCAGAACAACTCAAGTGGTAATTATTTATATTCAATCTCTTTCTTGGAGATCTTTTGCTGCTGCTGCTGCTTGATTTCTTACAGGTCGTCTCGCATGGGCTGTAGTGATGCAAATTCTTCGGAATTCGCTTCAGAAAAATCTCACTGTTTCTCCTCATCATTTAGTTGAGTTGCAGATCCTGTTTTATGCCGGGATGTACTCGAGAAGGTCCAAATCTAGCGGTGCCGAGAAATCCTTGTCACATGAAGAGCAGCAAGCAAAGGTCATCATCATACTGTATCTACTCACTCAGCAGATTCACTTCAATTTCGATCTAATATATATGTCTCCCAATTCCTCTCATAATACCTTTTGATGAGACGTAATCTATTAATTTACATTCTTACTTATTCACTGTTATTATATTCAAAGATTTTAAAGTTATTATCTATCTATCTATCTATTTATAATTTCGATTTCCTTATGTTCAGATAAACGAAGTCCGTCGCGCGTTGGGTCCATTGACAGATAAGCTGCCAAACTTGTGTTGGGATGGTTCGATACTGAGGTATCTCCGTGCGAGAAATTGGGATGCTGACAAGGCAACTAAAATGCTCAAGGAGACACTGAAGTGGAGATTGGAATATAAACCCGAATCCATTCGTTGGGTGTGCACTTCCACCATCTTTTTCTTTGTTTCCTTTTTCCTTTCCCCAAACACAAGAAATTACCATTAGTTTTCAGATTGTGGAATCAATCAGTACATAGTTTTGACACCCCCATATCATATTAATATGACTAAATTCGACTCTACTTTGACCTCCAAACTTCAAATTGTCTCTCGATGGTGGACACAAGATACCGAGTTCATCTCCTTTATCGCATTACCAGATGTTGACCATTTTACAAGTTCATCCGCTCCATTGAGTCCGAGAGTCGATCATAACCGAATGCTTACCATATACAAGTTCATCTCATCCACTCCATTGAGTCCGATCATAACCAGATGTTGACCATTTACAAGTTCATCCGCTCCATTGAGTCCGAGAGTCCGATGTGAGACGATCATAACCGAATGCTTACCATGTACAAGTTCATCTCATCCACTCCATTGAGTCCGATCATAACCAGATGTTGACCATTTACAAGTTCATCCGCTCCATCGAGTCCGATGCGAGCCGATCATAACCGGATGCTTACCATGTACATGTTCATCCACTCCATTGAGTCCAATGTTTCCGTAGCTAGTGCGGATTAGGCTAACATCATCATACATTGCCTTTCAATTTGTTTTCGAGAGGGCCGGCATTGCACTGGGCACATCTGTCACCGCCATCACTCTATTTAGTTGATTCCTGATTAGGTAAACCGGTACCTGCAAAAGAATTCAGTGTATGAGTGAGAAGAACCATCACAATCTATCATAACTTCACAAGCAGTAGGATTAAAAAGTGTTATTATCTATGATACCGGTCTTCGAAGCTGGGCATGCATTGTTATTTACTGCTGCGACTTCTGTACAATGTCTCGAGTCAAGAACAACATTCTGCTAAATAAATAAACGAGGACGAAACTCTTGTGATCAAATAAGGTTTTGAAAGGAATTCTATATCTACTGAATAATGTTGCTCCAAATATATACCTAACCTTGCAGAATATGAAGGCTTATACAGGAACGAGAAGTGCAAGCAAAACTGGGTTATCAAGTCATTATAATGCTATTTGAAGTTTTGCTAAACCATAAGAGTCCGGAAAGATTATAACAACTAATCAAATACAAGTTTCTCATGTCCATATTATTGTACTAAGGTCAGATCCTTGTTCACTTTCTTATCTTTATCATACAGGAAGATGTTGCCCATGAAGCTGAGACCGGAAAAATCTACAGAGCTAACTACCTTGACAAGTATGGAAGAACTGTTCTCATTCTGAGACCTGGATTTCAGGTTCGACACACAAAACATGCTGTTTCTAAGGCATTTAGTGCTAACAGTGGTTTTGATCGGTGACTATTCTGCCTTCTCAACTTGATCAGAATACAAGCTCAACCAAGGGGCAGATCAGATACCTGGTATACTGCATGGAGAATGCAATTCTAAACTTGGCAGCAGATCAAGAACAGATGGTTTGGCTTATAGATTTTCAGGGTTGGACCATGGCAAGTATAACGATCAAGGTGACCCGTGAAACAGCTCACGTTTTGCAGGATTATTACCCTGAAAGACTGGCTCTAGCAATCCTCTATAACCCCCCGAGGATCTTTGAGTCCTTCTGGAAGGTGCCATCTAATTTTCTGTCAATTCGATATTGTTGTTATGTGATGCCAGCAACAAGTTTTATCAATTTTGAAGAACAACAATTCTGACAAAAATTTCACATAACAAATGTGAAAGAATTGGTCTTCAAAATCAGGAATATGTTGATATGCATATAAACAGTCACTTGTTTATGCCATGCACATCATCTTAAATCATGTAGATAAGCAACTTGCTAAAAGAATTAACTACCAGATTGAACAGAGAGTCTGAGAGAGCTATATATACCTTCAGCTTAATGTGAGGCACAATGCTTCATCTCATTGGTTTTGGATTTTGTAGGTGGTGAAGCCTTTTCTGGACCAGAAGACATACAAGAAGGTAAAATTTGTTTACTCTGATGACACCGACAGCCAGAAGATTATGACAGACATTTTTGACATAAATAGTCTGGAATCTGCATTTGGGGGACATAATCAAGTTGGATTTGATTTCAACAAGTATGGTGAACAAATGAAAGAGGATGATAAGAAAATGTCTGCTATCATAAACTCAGCTGGTTCCGTACTCTCCCAAGATCCATCCCTTGCGTCTATTCTCCAGCAACCAGAGCCATCTACATCTGAAGCTCTATCACAAGGCTCATCAGATTCATCTTCCTCAAGAGATCCAGAATCCACAAAGTCAGTTCATACCAAAAACTCAAAAGAAAATAAAGAGAAACTGAATCAAAATTATGACAGTGGATCTGCTAAATTAGATGTTCAACCTGAGCCGGTTAAAATGAGGGAGTCGGCCTAGTTGATGCAAAACCTATGTCATGAGGTTATGAAGCACATGTAGTAGTCTATGCACGCAATGAAAATGTAACAGCTATTCTTGAGGATGGCAGATAACTAGATACTAATGAGAATTTGCCTAAAATTGGGCTGACAAATGGATGGGTATCAATTTTATACCCTGAATTATGTTTTCTAGTATCAAATTATGCTTTTTTTCACCCTGCTATGGCCTTCAGACAGGATTTTGTTGACATAGAGAACAAGCCATATGGTAATACAGTAACACATGCTTCTTTGTGACAAGTCACAAACAATTTGCAGAAGATCTTTAACCCTAATGTAGAATTTCTCTGCAACAATGCCAGGGACCCCCAATAAGAAGTTTGGGAATCTTATTGCTTGGAAGTAATCACTTCATGTGTATTCTGTCACCTGACAGCAGTCTGAGCTGCTAAACTGGAGAATCACGCACCCAGGAAATATGATCACAGAAGAACATCTGGGGATGTACCCATATCTTTCTAGACGGTAAGTAAAACAATGTATGATAAATCAGCTTTTTTTATTAACTCAAGAAGGTCTTGTCAAAAAGGGTGAAAGAGTATAACTGTATGTTGAAGCAAAGGGATAGATTGAGGTTTCATTCAATAGGCAATGCCAAATCTGAACCTTGGAATCGTGTTCAGAATCATTTGCATGGAAGAATTGTACAAGAATGGTGATGGAAAATCTCAGATCACAAAGGTGATGTAGGCGCAGAAGTGTACCTTACTTTTGTCATTGCTGCCTGTGGGCCTGTGGCTCGATTGATCTTTCTCTTCAAGTTTCAGGATCCTGGAGAGACAAGTATCTGAAATCAGATCAATATCAAGGCACACTTAGATGCAGAATGGAGATAAATTGCAGACATAATTTAATAAGACCAAACAGAATGAATTTAAGGTAGCAGTCATTTGATGTGATTAATGATACTCAAACCCTAGATTTGTCTTTATTTTCAAGCTATACACAAGAGTGGAAACTTGTTGCAACAAAAGAGAAGACAAGACAGATGTGGCAAAAGCAGATGAGCATGAGAGGGTAGAGGGAAAGCTTTCTGACAACCACATGTATCACAGCAGATATCATTAAGTTGTGACAGAAATTTGAATAAAGCGCATACTTCACCAGTATATGGCTGCATTATACCAACTTCAACTGTTCACAGTAGAAGATGCAAGACAAAAGAGAGAAGCTCTTCCAAAACAAAATACTCAAAAACTCCATCCTCCTGAAGACTCCATGAATCCCAACCCAAACAACAAAATTCCTATAATCACTTTCCTGAAAAATAACCTGTACTTTAGTGAGATAACATATTAAAGACAAAGTCCATAAAGTTGAAATAGAGACTAGGGTACTAATTAGCAAAAATGCCTCCAGAAGAGGTCTTAGGTGGTACAATAAAATTGTCGCCTTTGATCATTGAACTGTCAGGATCTTGATTACAGATGCAACTCCAACTCAATGCAGTGCCACAACCGATTCTCCAGGTTTGCATAGGCCAGCTGCTTTTGTATGCTGAATAGCAAATTCAATGGCTTCGTCGGTGGACTCGGTGTCTGAGGACTTTGCTGTCGCACAGCTTAAAACTGGAATCAATCCTCTAAATATAAGGCTGTACCTTGCAGGAGCCTCGTCGCTGCAGAACCAATCAAAGGAATCTGTCTTCAATTCTGGTACCACTACTGACAATATTGGCATCGCTGGCCTGTACTTAGCCACTAGTTTTGCGGTGCTTCCCCCTCTCGTCAGGACCAAGATGAGAGATGCCTTGGCAGAGTTGGCAGTTCGAACAGCTGATGATGCAAGGCTCTCTATCGGGCTCATAGGAACCGGTGCTGTTGCCAGGATTCCTTTAAAGACAGCTCCATAGTCCGAATAAGACTCTGCTTCCAGGCATATCTGAGCCAATGTCTGAACTGCTAGCTCCGGGTAAGCACCTGCAGCTGTTTCACCACTAAGCATCACACAGTCGGTGCCATCAAGAACTGCATTAGCAACATCAGTTGCTTCTGCTCGAGTGGGCCGAGGAGATTTAATCATCGATTCCAACATCTGAGTTGCGGTTACAACAGGTTTTCCTTTCATATTGCACTTGAAAATCATCACCTTTTGGGCATAAAATATCTTCTCAATGGGAATTTCCATTCCTAAATCTCCCCGTGCCACCATGAAAGCATCTGAATTTGCAAGAATATCATCAAAGTTGGCTACCCCTTCTTGACTCTTAACCTGCAAATAATTATAGTGAATAAGACTTTGGTCTCTACAAAAACAGGTCAATTTAGGCACATCAACAGACCTTGGACATCAGCACGATTGACTTGGCACGTTTTCCAAGAACCATTCTGACCTCCACAAGATCAGAACCTTTGCATACAAAGGTGTTGTAGGAAACAGTTTTGAGCCGTGGCCTCGGGGTCGACGCGGCTCGGTTCGGGTCCGGACGACGGGGATCTCCTTGGGGCGTTCCTCGAGCCCGCTGGGGTGGTCGGGTGCGGTGGTCCGATCGGGACGGTGTAGCCGTCTCCTCCGGGTAGGAACTCCTCGCCTGCGCGTCCGATGGGGACATTCAACTTCGTACCTGCACAAAGGTTGGGCCGAGCACCTCGGCCCGACCCC